AAGTCACAGTTAGAACAATGGTAGCTGTTGAAGTCACAGTTAGAACAATGGTAGCTGTTGAAGTCACAGAATTATGGTAGCTGTTGAAGTCACAGTCAGAACTATGGTAGCTGTTGTAGTCACACAATTATGGTAGCTGTTGTAGTCACACAATTATGGTAGCTGTTGAAGTCACAGTCGGAACTATGGTAGCTGTTGTAGTCACAGTTAGAACTATGATAGCTGTTGAAGTCACAGAATTATGGTAGCTGTTGAAGTCACAGTTAGAACTATGGTAGGTGTTGTAGTCACAGTTAGAACTATGGTAGCTGTTGAAGTCACAGTTAGAACTATGATAGCTGTTGAAGTCACAGTTAGAACTATGGTAGGTGTTGTAGCCACAGTTAGAACTATGGTAGGTGTTGTTGTCACAGTTAGAACTATGGTAGCTGTTGAAGTCACAGAATTATGGTACCTGTTGAAGTCACAGAATTATGGTACTCGTTGAAGTCACAGTTAGAACTATGGTAGCTGTTGTAGTCATAGTCAGAACTATGGTAGCTGTTGTAGTCACAGTTAGAGCTATGATAGCTGTTGAAGTCACAGTTAGAACAATGGTAGCTGTTGAAGTCACAGTTAGAGCTATGGTAGCTGTTGAGGTCACAGTTAGAGCTATGGTAGCTGTTGAAGTCACAGTTAGAACAATGGTAGCTGTTGAAGTCACAGTTAGAGCTATGGTAGCTGTTGTAGTCACAGTTAGAACTATGGTAGCTGTTGAAGTCACAGTTAGAGCTATGATAGCTGTTGTAGTCACAGTTAGAACAATGGTAGCTGTTGAAGTCACAGTTAGAACTATGATAGCTATTAAAGTTACAGAACTATGGTAACTGTTGTAGTCACAGTTAGAGCTATGATAGCTGTTGAAGTCACAGTAAGAACTATGGTAGCTGTTGAAGTCACAGTTAGAGCTATGGTAGCTGTTGTAGTCACAGTTAGAACAATGGTAGCTGTTGAAGTCACAGTAAGAACTATGATAGCTATTGAAGTTACAGAACTATGGTAGCTGTTGAAGCCAAAGTTAAATAATATTTATTAATTTTATCTCTAATTACTGTGAAGTTTAGTGTAGTGAACACACAATTTTATAAAAACTCACTCTTATTTCCAGTTCACATGGTGTTATTCTTTGTAATGGTTTTTGCTGAGCTGTAAAATGACTAATCAGCTCAAAACTGTCAGACAATGCCAGACTAATCTCTGTTTGGTTCCCATAGGTAAGTCGAATCTGTTAAAATCAAAACAAGCCACTAACTGTATAGACAATAAAAAAAACTGGCTTTAATTTTAAAGCATTCAGCATACTAAATATCATACTAACAATGTATAAAATAACCTGTAAACTCTTCAGTAACTACCAGAGTTGATGGTTCATCCTCTCTGTTGGTAAGTTGAAGTAACTAGTGGCATATTTATCTATTGAGTTTGTTTGTTTTTGAATTTTGCGCAAAGCTACACAGGGGCTATCTACACTAGCCATCCCTAATTTAGCAGTGTAAGACCACCCACCACCAACTCTTGGACTACTCTTTTACTAACGAATAGTGGGATTGACCATCTCATTATAATGCCCCCACGGCTGAAAGGCGAGCATGTTTGGTAGGACGGGGATTTGAACCCGTGACCCACAGATCACGAGTTGAGCACCCTAACCACCTGGCCATGTCGAGCCCTTTTCAGTTTGTCAGCTCTGATCTATTTCATGATCTACAGATTTAACAAAGTTGGTTCGGCTCACTTTTCAGCTTGTGTATCTTTGACATTCTTTTTTTTTTTGGAGGGAGGGGATTTTGAAGTGGAAATCTGTAAGAAGCACTTGCTACTAATCTATATAATAAAAGCCACTTTCTGCTTGTAATGCTCCCTTTGTCGGCAATGTTTCACTCTCTGTTGGTGACATTCAAATTGGCTCTGTGGCTTGTTTCAAGTGGAAGTCTTGAGTTCAAATCCAAGTCAAGTGGGGATTTTTTATAACTATTTTTAATCATGTTTATTGAAAGATATTATAATATTATGAAAAAAACAATAGCATGATACTTTACATTATACATCTTAATTATTTGTTGACATTCAATTACAAAGACTGGGTGTCACAGTGGTTGTAGCACTTGACTAATATGTGGAAGTGTTGAGTCCAAATCCCATCAAGTTGGGATTTTACATTCAATTTTTTATTATTATTATGTTTATATATTTTTTATCATATTTATAGCAGTATATTTCAATATTCAGAAAAATATTAATACAATTGCAGAGTAAATAAGGGATATTACATAATAAACATAACTGTATATATCAAAAACAACTTAAATATTTTTCAATGCAATAGATGATGCTGTAGTACAATATTATTAATGTTTTTCACTCTCTGCAAGAGATTTTTAAAAATTTAGCCAAAAAATGTATATGCATTTTAAAAGGAAAGTTATACCCTGGCGAATTTGCCCTTCATTATAAATTCCATTGCCTTTACCATCACAATTAATAAACTGATGGGTAAGACATTTGACAGTGTAGGAATATTTCTTTGAGAACCAGTTGCTGTTGTTTTCCCATGATTCGATCTATAAGGCTTTATCAAGAAGAACATTTGAGCATAACATAAAAATATACATAATTCAACTTACAACCAAAGACAACTTATAAGAGATGACCAAATATACACAAAAATGTTGTTTTCATAAAATACTAGAAAAAGGATATACGTTCTTTATTCACATATTGTTACTATAATATAATTACTTTTTCAGGAAACATGTCCATAAATCACTCATTTAGATTTAATTTTCACAAGATAAATCAATCAGCATTTACCATCACATATTGGGCATTGAGCTAGTAATTAATAAAAGAAACAATGATGTAAGGACAAACAAAAGTTTAGGATTGGTATAAGCTTGAAAAACAGCTTGTGGTAATGGGAGGTCAAGGAACCACAATATTATAACAAGATGCTTGACCAAAATACCCATGTTGGTAAATATGTAACCTAATGCAAAAACTGTGTGTATATAATATACCTATGATGGTAATCAAATGGTTAATAACTACAAAATGAGCATCTTACCATTCTCCAGTTAATATTTTCATCTTCTGCATCTCCACCAGGGTGCACTGTTGGCAATAAGGATTGTCCAAACAATTCATTAACAACACCAGCTTTGGCATAGCAGCTATCACCGAGGATCAAAATTCCTAAAGGCTTACGGATTATGCCTTCAACTAGTTCTTCATTTTCAAGTGACAATCCAAAAGAATCTAGCTCAGCTAATAAAAGAAAAAAGTTTCCCTTTCAGAAAATGTGTTGCTTAGATTAATAAATATAGTTATTAAAGAAATAACATGTAAGTCAGTAATATAGTGTTGTTATTGCATTAAAACTATTGGAATCCATACCTCTTACAGTTTATATTGTATTTCTTATGAGTCAACAGATGGCAGCATTTGTGAGGACGCACATGTGGATTTGTTTGTAGTTATGCACAAAGCTACACAATGGGCTATCTGTGCACTACCCACTACGGGTATCGAAACCCTGTTTATAGCGTTGTAAGTCCGCAGGTATACCACTGGGGTGCCACCTGTGGATGTGAGCTACTAATAAATCAACACAAATGAAGAACCAGAACTTCCAGTCCATTATTTGAAAAAAAAACTGTCACATGAAAATACAAGTTTTTATAGGCTCACAGAATAGACAAATAAAGTTTTCCGATCAATGTTTGGTAAAAAACTAACTTTCCAACCTGAACTCAAGATCATAAAGTTGGTCACTGTATTAGGCCTGAAATGATGTCTAGCCCACATTCAACCAGCTTTTTGAATATGAAAGTATAAACTGTTAGTATTCAAGTCCTACAAAGTGGGAAAATTTTGCATTTCGTTACTAAATGTCTTTCTAAATACATGAAAATCAGTACACGTTTAGTTCAGGTGGTTCAAAAGAATGCAGGTTTTTACAGGTCATTTTCACACAAAAAGGACCCCTTTCAAAATATAACATTTGCTAGTTTTATTATTATTGATTCAAAGAGAGGTTTGGTAGCTAAATAAGAAAAACATGTACCACACACTTGCTAAAATTTAATAAGAATAATCGTGGTCGAAAATTGCATAATCTGTATGAATTTATAAAAAAAAAAAAAAAAAAAAAAACAAGCGGAAGATTTCTCTCCCCATGTGACCTTGCAGTTTGTTTACATAACCCTGTCAAAACCCTCCTGCATCGCATAATGGATAGTTCAGTTATCATGAGTTACTTCAATTCTTTAAAAACTGCTTTTTGATTCAAATCGACTTCACACGGGCGTAGTTACAAAATTATAATACGAGTGGGAGGCTTAAATCTGAAAACTTTATGTAAGTTATATTTTCAACGTTTCAATTCAACTGTTAGCTACAAGGCACGTTATGTTAAGATCGAAAAGTTCATAAAATTAGGTCTATAATACCTAGGATGTTCTAACCTTAAAGTCAACAATCTAGTAAATTTCGGGACTGAACAGAGTAGATTATAAATGTGAGAATCGGTGAAGTATATAGTCAGTGTGTTTTGCGTTCAGTTTGTAAACCGAGCAGGGAATGAGTGAAGTATTTGGATCAGCGTTAATTATCATGTATATTCAAGTGTAAAATTGTACAAGTTTTTTTTTTTTTTTTTACATTGATCATAGTAAGTACAATTAGCGTAGTATTTCCGTTTAAACGTCATTTGTAAAGTTAGGCCTATAAGTTACAACTGTGTACAACTTACAAGTAATAGTAGCCAATAGTAAGGATTTGTTTGTTTGTAGTTAAGCACAAAGCTCCACAATGGGTATCGAAACCCGGTTTCTAGCGTTGTAAGTCCGCAGAAATACCGCTGTGCCACTGGGGGGCAATAATAAGGAAGAAATGTGTTAATTTATTATCGATATGTGGACTGGACTTGGCCTTATTTTCACCCAATAATTTAAAAGAACCATCCCAACAGAAGAACAGTATTACAACATACGTGTATTTAAGATCATGTATACTGTTACGACAGCGGAAGTCACGCGACCCTGGAAGCATGCTTGCTGGAGTTTCTTGAAGGATAATGACTTATCGAGGAACCTCGCCAATTTTCCAGTTGTTTTCCAGGCACCCTCCTTTTTAGTATATAAGCCCGGCAAATAAAGCCAGCGATAGATAGATATGCAGATAGATTGAAGAGCTAGATCACTAAGTCAAGCGAACAGTAGGCACCGTAAGTAAAGTGTGTGAATCACTGTGATTTATAGCGTGTGTTATAAAGATTGTTACGTTTAAAATGCTGTGGAAAGTCTGTGTATTACAAAGTTGTATCGAGAAAGAATAAACTAGTTTTAATAAAGAAAGGACTTGTGTGGCTGAAGTTCCTCGGAAAGAATATATACCGGAAATTAAGGAAATTATCAAACGAGCAGATACGTAACAATACTTTAAATAAACTTGGATAAATGTCTTATTCTTAAGAATTACATGCACGGATTATTTGAAGTCAAAATTTGTAACAACTATTATTTTAATTTTAAAAGTGTTTAAAAAGCTAGGGCTTCTGAGCAGTATATTTACCTTTGCCCATGCTTCTAGTCGACACTTGACCAATTTTTTTTTTATTTTTCATTTGTACCTTAACGTTAATGATTGACATGTTGTTTTGAGAAATGAAGATGTTGAAATGCTCGGTATTTTGAAAACCGGCCCTTGAAAATACTGATTGATACAGGGGATGGTTTTTTTTATATTGATTTTGATAGTCGAATTTGTCTGTATCATAAACACTATTGTGTCATTTACTTCCACATAATACAATTCACTTTTATGTAAGATCGGAGTTTTTATAACAGTTTCACTCTGTCCACCTGATGTTTTTTAATCAACAAACAGATGCAAATATTAAACGTTAGTTGGTTGTGTCATCTGTCAGACAACCGGAGAATCCTAAAGATTGCGAAAAATGACATAAAATATCCAAAGTTGAAACTCCAATAGGTCACTCGACCTTTGGCAGAATTCCAAGTTTTTACTTCATACTCATGTACTCATTTCTTTCAACTTTCAGTACTAGTTCTTTTACTTTTAGACCGTAATAAATCATTTTACGTTTTCTCTAATAGTCCACATTAGGCACCAAACCTAAGAAAGTGAACTAAAACAGCTAGAAATTGTTATTTAATTTACAAGTTTAAAAAAGGACTCAGATACTGGTTTGGTATCCACTATATTTCTTCAGTTATTAAAATGCTAGCCAAGTACTGTTAAAATTACATTTAAAAAACTTCGTAGTATAGTAACACAAAGCTTAATGGGCTAGCTTCATATTTACTTTATTTCTTCAGTTACTAAGATACTAAGAAGAAATTGTCACAAACGATCGAAAACCCTGTAATGTCAGTGTGGGAGCGTTGTAACTGCAAAGCTCAGTCTTGTTATTCGGTTAAAAGTAGACGCAATAGCGGCGGGTGCTGCTAACTGGTTACCCTCTCTATGATAAGCAGTCCTTAATTAAGAATCGTTACACCTGAACACTAGCAGTCTTTCTCGTGAACCGCCCCCCCCCCCCAGTAGCACAGTGGTATGTCTGCGGACTTACAACGCTATAAATCGCGTTTCGATACCCGTGGTGGGCAGTGCACAGATAGCCCATTGTGTAGCTTTGTGCTTAAATTCAAAACAAACAAACGTGAACGCTTAGCCCAGTATCGCATAAGGTATGGGTACGTTCAGGTTGAAACACGAAATAACATTCAATTTTACCATACAGCGTACGACAACTTTGTTAATTCTGTAACACAGATAATAGAAGTATACAACAACTCTATTAATTCTGTAACACAGATAATAGAAGTACACGACAACTCTGTTAATTCTGTAACACAGATAATAGAAGTACACGACAACTCTGTTAATTCTGTAACACAGATAATAGAAGTACACGACAACTTTATTAATTTCGTAACACAGATAATAGAAGTATACGACAACTCTGTTAATTCTGTAAAACAGATAATAGAAGTATACGACAACTCTATTAATTTCGTAACACAGATAATAGAAGTACACGACAACTCTGTTTATTCTGTAACACAGATAATAGAAGTACACGACAACTTTAATAATTTCGTAACACAGATAATAGAAGTATACGACAACTTTATTAATTCTGTAACACAGATAATAGAAGTACACGACAACTTTGTTAATTTCGTAACACAGATAACAGAAGTACACGACAACTTTATTAATTTCGTATTATCTGTGTTAAAGTTGTCGTGTACTTCTATTATCTGTGTTACGAAATTAATAAAGTTGTCGTATACTTCTATTATCTGTGTTAGAAGTATACGACAACTTTATTAATTAAAATTGATAAAGTTGTATACTTCTGTTATCTGTTTTACGATACTTCTATTATCTGTGTTACGTTATCTGTGTTACGAAATTAACAAAGTTGTCATGTACTTCTATTATCTGTGTTACAGAATTAACAGAGTTGTCGTGTACTTCTATTATCTGTGTTACAGAATTAACAGAGTTGTCGTGTACTTCTATTATCTGTGTTACCAAATTGATAAAGTTGTATACTTCTGTTATCTGTGTTACGAAATTAACAAAGTTGTCGTGTACTTCTATTATCTGTGTTACGAAATTAATAGAGTTGTCGTATACTTCTATTATCTGTTTTACAGAATTAACAGAGTTGTCGTATACTTCTATTATCTGTGTTACGAAATTAATAAAGTTGTCGTGTACTTCTATTATCTGTGTTACGAAATTAACAAAGTTGTCGTGTACTTCTATTATCTGTGTTACAGAATTAACAGAGTTGTCGTGAAAGTTGTCGTGTACTTCTATTATCTGTGTTACGAAATTAATAAAGTTGTCGTATACTTCTCCACAGATAACAGAAGTACACGACAACTCTGTTAATTCTGTAACACAGATAATAGAAGTACACGACAACTCTATTAACTTCGTAACACAGATAATAGAAGTATACGACAACTCTGTTAATTCTGTAACACAGATAATAGAAGTACACAACAACTTTATTACTTTCGTAACACAGATAATAGAAGTATACGACAACTTTATTAATTTCGTAACACAGATAATAGAAGTACACGACAACTTTGTTAATTTCGTAACACAGATAATAGAAGTACACGACAACTTTATTAATTTCGTAACACAGATAATAGAAGTACACGACAACTTTGTTAATTTCGTAACACAGATAATAGAAGTATACGACAACTTTATTA